GCTTCTGGGGAAAAAGCGAAACGTCCTTTTAAAAAAACGTCCTTTTTTGGTTTTTTTTTTTGTTTTGTTTTTTGTTTTTTGTTTTTTACCCACAGGTACAGATGACGACTGACAGAACCCTTTCTACGATGAAACAATCAAGCAAATTGTTTGATGGAATGAATATTAATGATGTGACGATTCCATTCCTTCATTATTATAAAAAATGTGAAATACATAGATTTTGAATTTTTTTTTTTAGCTTGTTATATTTTATTTCATTATTCACGGAAATAAAATGGGCAGAATAATTTACTGTAGGTTTAAGAATGTCATTGCTTATTACATTAAAATCATAAGATATACAGTATTGATAAATATCAAATCTTTTTTTATAACAAGCAAATATTTTAACAAAATATCTGTGATACATATATTTACTAAAATCATCAATCAGTCATTACGCAGGAGGCGGGGCACACCCGCAACTGGTTGCCAGCCAATCGCAGGGCACCAATAGACAAACAACTATTCACGCTCACAATGGGACCTCGGGACAATTTGGCGCGATCACTTAACCTACCGTGATTCTGACATCACCATCGTCCTTGGGATCGTCAACTCTTCTCACTTCAAATGTTTGTACCAGTCGTGACTCTTTCTTGTGCGCGCTGCAGATGCGACTGCTGGGTGAGTGTCGCGGCAACATTGACATCGTGAAGAGGATGGGCCACGAGTTAAAAGAGGAAGAGGACACGGCGGCCGGCCTGGCCAATCCCGGCAGTTCCGAGTGCCAAACGTCCGGTGAGTTCCCTCACCACCGCTTCGACGGCATTCCAAGCCCCGCCATTTTTCCTCGTCAAAGCAAGTCGACTTTATTTATATCGGCCCGAATCACAAAAGGGTCTCAAAGGGCCTTCACAAGGCCGCAGCTGACAAATAAGAAGCGCATCAGACCCCCCCGGATGACTTTGCGGGTTCCGTCGCAGGCGTGATCGAGCGCTGGGAGCTCCTGCAGGCTCAGGACCTCAGCAAGGAGATTCGCACCAAGCAGAACCAGCAGCAGTGGCGGCAGCTCAACTCGGATCTCAACAAGATCTGGACTTGGCTGCGGGAGGCGGGCGACGAGCTGGAGCAGCAGCGGAGGCTGGACCTCAGCACCGACATCCAGACCATCGAGTTCCGCATCAGGAAGCTCAAGGTGTCACGTCTGTGTGGTACTCGGTTCGGGCGCTCGGCAAATAACTGTCCGTTATGGAGCACGAAAGGAAGGAGGCGTTGCGGGGCCCTTCGCGTTCCCGTATGTGTCGTGTCACGTTTTCGGCGCGTTGACGACTCGCGTGCGCTTACCGTACGACATGAACAGCAATGGAGGCTGGAGGGACATTTGTGTTTTCGAGCTTGAATTATAGTCACTATTTTGATTTTGTGTCAGCTAAAACAGAAAAAAAGTTAAAAAAAAAAAAGCCTTTATTTTAGATTTGGTCAAAAAAAGAAATGTTTAAGTGAAGACGAGAAAGGCTGTCTTTTAAAAGACAAAAATACAGTCGGGGGCGAGGGGCTCTTCACCTGAACCTGAAGTGGAGAAGCCTTTTGGATTCTCGATGAAACAACAACAACCAAAAAAGGCCGGTCGCCTCCATCCAGCCTGCGCGGAAGCCCAACGTGACGACGACTCGTCCTTCTCCCGAGTTGCCTTAAACGGGGCCGACGTGTGTCCAGGAGCTGCAGAGGGCTTGGGACAAGCGCAAGGGCATCGTGCTGTCCATCAACCTGTGCAGCGCCGACTTTGTGCACTCGGACACGGACGAGTCCAAGGAACTGCGGGCCAAACTCAAGGACATGAACAACCTGTGGGACAAGCTGGCCGCCTCCTTGGACGAGTGGAGGTCCTCGCTCCAGGGAGCCCTCATGCAGTGTCAGGTGGGTCACGATCGTCTGTTCTTCGGCGCAAGTACGGATCACAAAGTATTCGTACTTCATTGTCCGCCGATCCCGCAAGCAGGACTTCCACGAGATGAGTCACGGTCTCCTGCTGTGGTTGGAAAATATCGACCGCCGGCGCAACGAGGTGGTCCCCATCGACCCCATCCAGGATAGCGACACTCTGCAAGAGCACCATAAATCACTCATGGTATGGCAATCGAGTCATCTTTTCTTCTGGAGACAAATTCCTCTTGGCCAATTAATTTGGATGACTGAGTTTTGGGGGTATAGCTTGCTGAGCCTTTTTTTTTGTTGTGGGTTTTGTGGGTCTGCTCATGATAGACAGGTTTGACAAGTTTCTACGCCTTAATGGCAAAATTCTTATTTTTTTTAGTTCTCAGGAACACTGCTCGCCAAAATGGCCGCTTCACACCAAAGTGGAAGACTTGCTGTTTTTCGGTCACATGTTCTTGAGATTTTTTTTTTTTTTAATGGGTCTACTCATGATAGACAGGAATGCCAAATTGGCCTTACAGGCTAAATTAAAAATAATGAAATAAAAATACTTGACTATGGTTCTCATCCAAAATGGCCACTTCAAATCAAAAGTGTTCTTGAGACTTTTTTGTGGGTCTCACTCATGATAGATGTCTGACATTTGTTTTGTTGCTAAGAAAACGGGCTTTTGGAGCTGGGTTTTTTTTCTTTCTCAATTGTAGAGGCCACTCCCAAGCTAAACCACAATGAGAGACTTCCTGTGTCTTTCTGGGCTTTTTTTTTTTTTTTTTGTGGGTCTCCTCATGATAAACACGTCTACCAGCTTTCCTTTATCGATAAAGTGACTTTGAGGACTGACTTTTCAAAAATATTCTCAAGTCGCGCCAGTGAGCCAACATGGCAGTCTTCCCGTGATCTTGCTCGGCTCGGGCTCAGCTCTGACTTGCGCTTGCAGCAAATCCGCCAGGAGCTGCTGGACTCTCAGCGGAAGGTGGCCTCGCTGCAGGACATGGCGCTGCAGTTGCTGGTCAACTCGCAGAGCGGCGACTGCCTGGAGGCCAAGGAAAAGGTCCACGTCATCGGCAATCGCCTCAAGCTGCTGCTGAAGGAGGTCACCCGAGACCTGAGGGAACTGGCCCGGATCCTGGACATGACCAGCAGTCAGCAGGTACACCAAATCCGAGTCCCCCGAGAGGCCCATAGAATGGACGCGTACAAATGACTACTTTCCGTTTCACCATTTGATGACATTTTTGACTCTGCGTTACATAGAGGCTCTCATTTTTGAAGTACAGTGTGAATTTTGTGTGTTTTGTTTCCCCAGGATCTGTCATCTTGGTCGTCTGCGGATGATTTGGACACGGGATCCGGCTCGCTCAGTCCCGCCTCGGGGAGGAGCACTCCGAGTCGGCGGCGATCGGTAACGTATACGCCTGCCTCCTTCTGCTCCTCTTCAACCCCACCGGGACCTCCGCCGCGAGAATGCGGTCAGCCCCTTTCACACAAAGTTGAAATTTCAGAATTGGGACTGTAACAGAATATCGACGTGACTCGGCTGTAATTTTGTAGCGAAAGCCAACATTTTTATCATGAACGAAAACAAACCAAAAATAACTGCAACTAAAATTGAAAAAAAAAAACATTTTCTTTGGGGAAATAAAATAGAAAAACAAAATTATCATTGAAAGCTACGTCCAATTATAATGACAGCGAAAACTCATCTGTCACTTCCGATCATCCATTCGGGTGCATTTTAAATTCATTTCGGAATTGCTGTACATTCCTCCAGAAGAAAGAAAGTCAAACAGTCGTTTGAGAATTGTTTGTTTACTTTATGACACGATACCTCATGACATTTTCTCTTTTGTCTTACACTTGACAAAGACTTGGGATATACCGGTATATTCAAAAAATAAAATAAAATAATAATAATACTAAACCGAATAAAAACTCAACTAAAACAGAAGCATTTTTGAAAAAAACCTGCTCATAAAACTTCTTAAGACGACCTGAATTTCAAAAAGCCAAGTGAAAACAAAATAAAAACCGACGATAATGGAAACAAAAAAAAAAAACCTGAACTATGATTCTGCTGACTTCCCTCAACATTCTAAAACACGGGCTTCCCTTTCGCCACATTTTGCAGCCTTCTTCCCAAAAGGATGAAATTCATTTTTTCCCCTCCAAAGAAAAATCTGGGCAGTGTGAAAGGGGCTCTCCAACACCTGCATCCCACGGAAGTCAGAAATGCACCTCCCTCCCATATTCGGATCTTTCCTCAACTCCTCTTCCGCACCTCCACCTCTCCGCTCACTTCCCAAACTTTTCACGCATTCATGACTCGCGCAGCTCACCCAGCGAGAGCCAACAAACTGGATTTTCTTTTCCCTTCCTTGACTTCCAACGTCATACCTCCTAGCGTGTGGGCAAATCTTTTTTCCCACTCAGCCTCCCTCGGAACTCTTCCTCACTCTAGTTTGGATCCCAGCGAATGTTTGCTTTTTAGTGCGGCAGTGTTATATTTGTCATTTGGAGAAATGGATCTTCTCACCGTGATGTCACTTCTACTTCCGGGTGGCAAAGGCCGTCTCTGATGGCGCCTCTAGTGGTGAGGGGTGTCATTACAGTTTTTTTGGTTTTTTTTTTTTTTCTCAACCACCTTCATTTTTATGTGTCAAGACTTTCATATATGAAGTCAGTTACTTCCAAGATTTGAATTTCAACAGGTAAAGACTATTGTCAAAAGAATTATAGCTGGCAATTCCAAGTGATCTGCGTAGTAGTCCAGGTCAGTGGCAGCCAATCACTTTCTGCCACCCGGAAGTATCTTTGGCGCCACTCGTTGACAATCGTTATGAAAAGGTCTCTAAGCATGCCGATGTGGCCTTCACATGGCTGAATGAACCCGCCACCATGTTTTGTTTTTTTCTGTGGCTGCTCGCCTCTCATCTCCTCTGCGGGGGGGACGTCGGTGCCATCGAGTGGCTTCTGTCTTGATTTGCCTGGACTGAAACTTTTCTTTTCTTTTATACCTCCCTCCCCCCCTTCCATTCTTCTACCGACCCGTTCATTGCAAACAGCGGCGGGGCAAATGTAATGTGTCACAGCGTGGAGGCCCTGTGAGCGGTCCGCAGCACAGGTACATGGTTCTGTTGGTTGCTAGCGCACTTGGAAGATGATGGAAGTCAGCAGCCGCGCGGATTCCGGAACAGGGCTTTCTAACCTTTATTAAGGCGAGGCAAATATAGAGCGCAGCACCAAGCAGAAACGCCGCTAATAGTCGGTACGTTGACTTTGGAGTTTACAGTGAAACCCGACTATTCACAGGGGATGGGGACGGAGCCCTGCGGCACACAGCGAAAACCAGCAGATTGACGTCTCCCCGTGAAAGCTTGGGATGAGCCGTAGATTCCACTCGGGCGTCATGCACATACAGTATGGCTCAACTCACTTCTGCCAAGGTGCCACCAGATGGCATCAAAGCAATTCTGTTATGAGTGAATAAATGCATTTTTTCACTGACTAACAGAGGATGGCATAAAATAACTGCCAACAGTCAACCTTGCGAATGCCAAACCTCAAATATGCCAGGGTGTACTGTAATTCGTTTGTGAACAAGCTTGACTTTTGATTTTTGACAACTTATGTTTCAGCAGATTGATTCCCCCTTAGTTTTTTTCCTCAGTATTTTAAAACTTGAATTTGATTTGATTGATTGATTTCTTTGGGGGAGAGGGGCGTACCCCCTTTTCACTATTCATGGGCCGGCCTGCTCCCTATCCCCTGTGAATCGTCAAAATGTGTGAATACTCAAACACTGACATCGATCAACGAAAAAAGATTTGTCATCATAAAATTATATTTTCCAGATGAATCAAGTGCACTTGGATCATTTCTTGCTGGGTTGGGAATCCCTGTTCTGAACTTTTTTTTTTTTTATTGCGTGATCATGTCAGTGAATTCCATCATCTTCTGCAAGTCTAGACGCTCTTGTGTAGGCCGGCTGACCAGCGTCGGCCCTCCCTTCCTGGTTTTTAAGGAATTTCTGCTGCTTAATAACCAGCCACTGGATTCGCCCCCACCAAGTGTTTCTCTCTCGCTAACCGCAACAACAGCGCTCCGCCACTAGTGGGCGCACTTGCCCCTATCCGCCCTTCTTTCTCTGTCAGCCATCAAATGTCTGCAATGAACAACACAAAAGGCTGCCGTTTCTTTCTTTGTGACTTCTTCTTTTGCTGTCAACCAACTCTGCACCCCCCACTCCGCCCCCTTTTTTCAGTCATCGCCGCTCGTCATTTGTGAGGACTCCTAACGTACATCATGGTTGTCCACTGTTTTTTTTTTAAGCCTGCTTTTTCTGTGCTGGTTTTTCTTGCAAAACTTCAAAGTCAGACAGAAAACATTTATGAGACTTTTTTTTTCCCGACTTTTACATCACCGCAGTCCGCCCGCAAAAAAAAAAAAAAAAAGTGTGATTTCATTTACGAGATATCCTTTTTTTTCCGAATGTAAACCTTTGCTTTTTGGCAGGTGTCGCAGCGCCGCTGGGTGCGCTTCCTGCCCTTCTGACGCACCGCCGCCGCCTCGGGGCGCTTCCTTGGCCCGGCGCGTCCTGCGAGTGGCGCTGCCCTTCCAGCTGGCGCTCCTGCTGCTGCTGCTCGTCGCCTTCCTGCTACCCTTGTCCGAGGCGGACTACTGCGCCCAGTCCAACAACTTCGCCCACTCCTTCTACCCCATGCTGAGCTACACCAACGGACCTCCGCCCGTCTAGAAAGCGCAACTGACACAAAAAAAAAAACAAAACAAAAGCAGCCTTTGCAATGAGCTGGATTGCTGCAGAACTGAGTCGTAAATTGTGATCTAATCAATCCATGTGACGCGACTGGAAGTGTCGGTTCAAGGCATCTGCCCCGAGGTTATCGTTCGCGAAAACAAACAAAATCACGCCAACTGGAACTGGAAAAAAGATTTTTGTGAACTGAAAGCAAAATGGAAAGACAAAACGATCACGAACTAAATCGGCATTATGTGTTTACCCAACTAATCAAAATGAGCTAGGCTAGTCGCAAAAAAAAAAGTGCTTTGTTTTGGTCTTGGTCACTTTGTTTGATACAGAAGCTTTTTAGGTCGATTTGAAATCTACTTCGGCTCTCCTGGATTTCTAATTTGATTTGTGGATGGTGGCTCATTTGTGTCGCGTGCGACCCGAGCCAACATTTTCGAAACCGATTCATTTCACGTCATTTTTGTTTGGCCGCTGCTACGAAAAGAGGCCTGGTTTGGATTTGGAAGAAAAAAATCGGAATTGTTCACACCGACATGAAATAATGGGATTTGTAACCTGCAATTTGAACTCAGCTTTCGAGAAACACTCTCTAGAAATGGTTCAAGTTGTCGCCACTCTCCCTAGGAGTTAGTCTTTTTTTTTGGGGGGGGGGGGGTCTAGATGACGATGAGATGACAGTGCAGGTCATTCGAAAGGGTTCACAAAGTTTTCCTTGGAACTGTATGTGACATGACTGAAACTGCTGTTTGGAAGGACAGTAACGGGTCATCATTTTAGGCAGCAGTACCCACGTCAAAATGAATAATAATCGTGACGAGCGGAGGAATTACAAAAAAAAAAAAAAAACATACCAAAGTAAATGGCTGAAACGCAGGCTGTGATATTTCTCATGATTCTACTTAGTAATGCTTAACACAGTTACCTGTTTTTTTTTTTTTGTCCGCATGCAGTTTCACATCCCCACCAACAATTTTTAACCTGACATGCTGAGATTATTTTTAAAGAGAGCCGCCGTCAGGGCGACGTGGGTCGTTTTATTTTTACAACATATCAAATACTATAGAGCCAGATAGAAACTATTGTATTTTTTTGTATGCTTACCTGGTGTCAGACGTGTAACAAAGTGTGGATGATCGTGTGTGTGTGTGTGTGTGTGTGTGTGTGTGTGTGTGTGTGTGTGTGTGTGTGTGTGTGTATACGTACTGTACATAATGTTTATGACAAATGTATACGCGAGCATCAGAAACAATGAATGCCAAATCTCTATTTTGATATCTGTGGTGCGTTTTTTTTCCAAGGAGGTTGGAGTGTCTTGAGTGGGAGAGAGGC